ATCCTTAGTTGATTTTAAGAAAAAAAGTTTAAATAAACCTATGACCTAAACCTCTTAAATTTTGAATTACAGGGTGTTAAAGTTTTAAGAAAAAAATCGGTTTTTTATCATAACTTTTATAACTTCCTAGATATTTTTATAAAATTTGGCACACGCCTTCTAAGCATTAACAGTAAGTTTTTAAAATTATTTTATAATTAAATTTAATTTTAATGTTTATTAAATTTTAATCATGGCATTGTTTTCTCAATATGCGCATTAAATGCTTTTTATTTTTTTCATCGAAAACCGTTGTTGATACAATTGTATCATGGGTACTAATGGCGTCTTACCAAGCACATAAAAAGATCCCCCAAACGAAGGCTTTCCTTTCAATTGTCTCCACCAGAGGGACTCCCGAGCCAATAAGAACGCTCGGATTGTTTGGTTCGCGAGCGGTGGCGTGCGTGTAGCTTTGTTTTGGCGCCTGTAGCGCTAAATTTAAAATGATGAGTGGTTTTGTGTTTGAATAATTTAATAATTAGGTAGAAATGAACGGTTAATTTAATTTTTAGCTTGAACTTTTCTTTTACTTTAGTTTTCTGTACTTATGTTCTGTGTTTCTATAGTAAAAAAGGATTCACACCTACCTACATTTTTTGTTTACCTTACCTAAAGGATATAATTAACCTTAAGCCGGATTTATATATTGCCTTCCTTCCTTCCTCCCGTAAAAGATGAACAAAAACGAACAAACGAACAAAAAAGATTGTTAACAGAATTCTTCAATTTCCAACAAAACATTGTAAAAATTAAATTGAAATAAATGAGAAATATATAATTTTAAAGTACTTACCAATTATTGTATTTCACGGCCAGGACCAGGTAAAATAAATCACAAACAATAACGCAATTTATGTTTATCACTTGCGAAATAATTAACTATGGCATACAGGGTTGTTCCTGGCTGATTTTTCAAAGTGTAGAACTCGATAATGAAATTGTGTAGCATTGTGCAGTTTTAAAATGGGGCGTCGGCGTTTGCGACATCTTTGGCCAGATTGGCGAATTCGAAAAATTCAATTCGTTTTGGTGGTTATTAGAATGCAGTTTTACCAGAGTTCTACAGTAGTTTTACACTATAGGCACCATAGATGGAAGACTGATAGGGACTCTATTTTAAACACGCTTCAGCAAGGCCTTACCCAAGCAACAATTTAAGTATTTGTTACGTATATGGGACTATTGAAGAAACTTTAAAGTGTTTTGCGACAGTCGCCGGTCTCTTTATATTACTCTTTCATTACTAAGTTACGACTAAAGTGGGGAACAATTATTGAGTTCCAAAAAGGTAACAAATATGTCACTAGCTATAAACCCTGCTACTATTTGGAACGTAGCTGCTACGTTACTAGAACGTTCCAATATCGTTGCTAAAGCGTTATAATTACTTTTATTTATTTGTTTTTACTTCTATATTTATTGTCTTTGTCAAACTTATATTAGCTTATACTATCCCTCCTTTTTTAAATGGAACCACTACGGACTTGGCTTTTCAATGTTGTCGTTTATTAAATATGTACTGGTAGTTTATAACTTCCAGAATAACAATATAATGTTTAATAAGGCAGGTAAATTTATAAACCCTTTAAATTTTACTGTTGAACTTATGAATTTAGTTTTTGTAAAATAAATGCGCTTCATCAATATTTAAGTATAAACAAATTATAATTAAATAATTATTTATTTAATAATGTTTATAAATAAAAAAATCTTAATATTTATTATTAATTTTTTTATTTAATTATTAATACCGTCTATTACCAACAAAATTACTATTTATTAAAAAGTAAACAACCATTTACAAACAATTAAAATTTATTATTTACATTACCACTTGGTACCATGGGCGCCGCTACATAGGGGCAGGGGGGGGCCCGGGCCCCCCCCTGGAAATTCATACCCAGAAATTCCGGTACTTCATAATTTGACGGTAAGTGCTGATCGTTATCATTTGTTCATTATTTTTTAGATAAATTAGATTTGTTATCTTAGATAATTTAAGATTTGTGCCGTCTTAATGAACACTAGTGTTGTTACAGTTGTAAAATGAATGAAATGGCTGGATGTTCAAAGAAATCAGAAGCACAGTTTACTGATTCCGTTCATAATCCTATGGCAAAGAAACCAGAAGCCACAGATCATTATGTTCATATTCCAAAGATCTTCGATGGAATCTTATATACGTGCAATAAGGTTCATATCAATTTTGATTTGGAATCCAAGGGGTTTTAGCTTAAATAAAACTTAAAAATTGAAATAATCCGGAAACTGTTCTTGGAAAATTAATGAAATAAATATTAAAAAAATTATTATTGGATTCAGGATTTAAATCCTTTTTTGCAAGTGGATTTAGGATTTATGATTTAAATCCAGATAACGTAATGGATTTATGATTGAGGATTTAGTTCCAGTTTATGGTTTATGGTGTGGATTTATGGATTTAGATTTAAATCCTTTTTGCCGGATCTTGCCCATCCCTGAGTAAGACACGTTCTTGGCTAACATATTTCTATATAGGTACGAACTATATATGTTGAAAAAGTCTACTATAGAAGAGATTTCTTCATAAGCCTACTGAATTGATAAACAGATGGTGCTAATAATTGTGTAAAATTTACAAATATACATACAGGGTGTCCCAAAAGTCAACGATATCCTTTGAAGGACTCATAGGTCAGCTCATGACTAATCAGAATATCAAAACATGACCTTGGTAAAAAATCATTAGTTTTTAAGATATTGGCATTTTTATAAATTTTGTGAAACTTGACACAAAAACCCTGAATAGGACTGCTATTAATTACAATTCAAAATTAAATTAATAGCAGATTTTGTAGCTGTGGCACTCGAAAAACTAATCTAAGGTGTCAAGTTTTACAAAATTCATAAAATGTCAAAAAGTAACGATTTTTTACTAAGGTCATATTTTGATTTTCTGCTTTGTCATGAGTTGGTCTATCAGCTGACTAGTCCTCCAAAGGATCTCGTTGACTTTTGGGACACCCTGTATAAAGATGATATTTTATTTGACTTAAGTTTAATGTGAACTTCTACAGTACAACTTGATAACATCTATCAAAATTGTAAAAAACTTTAAGGGCCCCCCCTAGACGAATTCCTTCCGGCGCCCATGCTTGGTACTGTACAGTAAAAAATGGCCGATAAGAAGCATTTTCCTTTGAAGTAGTTTTCGCTACTTTAAAGTTTTTTTTCACTTTACGGTTGTTTTGGTTAGTACCATAAACGTTCCAAATACTAAAATAATAACTTTTGAGTTTTTGTAGTTTTTAACTCATGTTCCAGTTTCGAGATTTTAACAAAGGGACTACAAAGTAAAAATAATTATAATGTGATCTTTAGGTAGCAACCGAAAGTAACTGCTACAAATTAAATTTACTTGAAAGTTTTTTTTTACTTATTACACCTTTTTTAAAGTTGCAAAGTCTTCTTGGGGGCAACCAAGTTTTACTTAAATGTTTATTACTTTATAGTAACCATTTAAGGAAAAATTAAGTTTCTGTTACAAAAAATTGCTATTTAAAAGTTAGAATTACTTTTAAGTAAAAATTAAAGTAGCTGTTTAGTATACTTAACTAATTTAAAGTTATCACCACTTCGGCAATGGTTTTTGGAACCAAAAATATATTTTATTATATTACCGTGCGTTTTGTATTATTTACCATTATATATATATGTTATAACATAACATATGTTCCAATAAAAAAAGAATGGATATGCACCTTAGATCATAGATTTCTTTTTATTTCAGAATTCGATTTTGTTTTATAAATTTGTGTCGCATACAACAGATGGCGAAAACCACGACTCAAAATATCCCTATAAGGACTCTACTCAATTTCTTGTAGAAAGAAAAGTTTTTTTTATTGATTGCTTATAATAGTGTAGTTTTTTGTTTACTTTATCAAAAAAGTGCAGCAAAACAATAAAATTTGCCATTTGCAAAACAATAAAATTTGCCATTGTTAAAAAGTGTAGCATTTTGCACAATTGTGTAGCTTGGAACAACCCTGATGGCATAGTGCCACTAGCACATTTAAAAGAAAATAGATCTTACCCTTATACCCTATAGCGGCTTGGCATCCATATTTGTTTCGCAGTGACTGCTACTCCGTGCGCACGGAACCATAGTTGGCTGACTCGCGCTCCTTGCGCACGGAACAATAGATATGTGGCTCGCGCTCCGTGCGAGGCTTGATAGGTTAGGTTATGATTTAAGTGAAAGTGAAAATGAAAGTAGGTGCGTTATTTGCAACGTTTGAAGAATTGGAAGAGAAAATTAAAAAATATGAAACAAGCAAATTCATTACTCTACAAAAAAGGGATTCCTGTTTATTATCTAAAGCGGTAACAAAGTATCTTAGAGCTTCAAAAGGCAATCAAGATCTTAAGTATTATTTTATTAAGTATGCATGTTCCTGTCGGTTTCGGAATCAAATGATGTTACCTTGTCGTCATATTTTATCTGTTAGAAAATATTCGAATGTTGAATTATTTGATGAATCATTGATAAATGAAAGATGGCATGTAAAGTTTTATGTTGAAAATCATCGAGCAACTGTGAAAGTTGTACCGATTTATGATTCACACAACGAAGTGCTTACTGAACATATCACAAACAAACCAGTTTTAAATCAGCATCAAAAATTTAGTGAGGCCTCCAAATTATGCAATTCCTTACCAGTCACTATATCTCAATATGGGAATAAGACATACCGAGAAATTATGGACCAAATGTTGTTGAAATACTTTTATCAAAACAAGAAAAAAGTTTTAATTGTTGAAGTGATTGATGAGAATATTAATAACAATAATAATTACAACTATGCAAATACCAGAAGAAATGGAAGGAGAAATATTATAATATATAATATAATATATTAGAAGACATAGAACTATATTAGAAGACATAGAACTATGAGAAGAAAGAGAAATATCAGAAGGAGAAATATTATTAGAAGACATAGAACTATCAGAAGAAAGAGAAATATCAGAAGGAGAAATGTTATCAGAAGCCATAGAACTATCAGAAAAAAGAGAAATAAAAGAAGCAGAAATATTAGCAGGAGATATTGATGTATCAGAAGAAAAAAAAATACCAGAAGAGGAAATATTATCATACGACAGAATATTTCCAGACAATAAAAAACGATCACAATAAAAAGAAAAACCACTAAAAATAAACATCAACATCAACATAATTTTTTTTTCAAACGGTATTTCTTTTTCTTGTGATAGTTTTTGGTGCACCAAAAATGGTTAAATGCGGCAGACCCAAGGGGTCAAAGTTGACGATAATTGGGTCTAAAAGAAAAAGGAACTCAAATAAGACATCCAAAACATTCCGCCAAAGACATGTATTTTCCAATTATTTTTTAATAAATTACTTAATATTAATGCTTTTTTGTAGAAATACCATTATGAAATTATTAAAAACTTTCTAGCGCATCGCATCTATGTCCTAACCCCATATGTACGGTGCAGGAGTCCCATATCTATTGTTCCGCGCGCAAGGGGCGCGAGTCACATACCTATTGTTCCGTGCGCACGGGGTAGCAGTCACTGCGTATTTGTTTCAGCCACCCAACAGTTGGCAAATTCGGCAACTGTCGGAGCACTTCGAGTAACGATCGGTACAAAACGGTGGCAGCACAGTCGAAGCCAGCCGTATTCAAATTCAAATATGATATTATGCGCAGAAAGCAAAGTTATGCAGAACGATAAATGACAGGTAACAAATGACAGGTATGACAGGTGACAAATGACAGGTGATGGAAAGTGACGCCTTGTAGCATATTACAGGTGACAAATGAAGGTGGCAAATGACAGATAAGAAAATGACAGGTGGCAGATTATGAAAGGTGACAGATATTTGTCGTCTTGCATCATATGACAGGTGACAGATATCTGTCACTTTGCATCATTAGACAGGTGACAGATGATGAAAATGCTATACATTTTTTGCCTTTTGGAAAGACGGCATGAAGATATCCAATATATGTATATATATATCAGGGACCCGGACCCAAATGAAATAACGGTTCCGGTCCGGTTCCGGTTCCGAGAGAAACGACAAATTGCGGTTCAGGTTCAGTTACGGTTCCAAAAAAAATATTTCTGTCCGGTCCGGACCAATCTTTTCGGTCCATACGGTTTTTTTCGGTTCCAATTTTTTTTACTAGGTGTAAATAAGTACTTAAATTATAAAATGAAAAGTTTATTAATTTTTTTTATTTTTTTTTTGGCAAGTAATTAAATAAAGTATTACTTTAAAGACAATTGTCTCTTCTTATTTTTTAAATGAGGTTCTCTAATTTTAGGGTCTTCATTCTCTTTATTTTTATTATCGATCGGCTGGCTTTCTTTATTTTTTTCTTCTGATCTTGTGATTGAGAAACTAGAAAATTTATAATTAAAATAAGTTATATAAAAATAAAAAAACTAAACTTAGAGCTTTTGTTCTTCTTTTTGATGGGCTGGGTTAGTTGTTTTTCGTCCCATATTAACCAAGTTTGAACATAGAGAATGGCTTAGAAAACCCCAAAGAAGCACATATAAAAGATGGTCGTTCATTTCTTACAAAGTGGCGCGTCTTTCAATTACTTGTATGGACATTTTTCACATACTTCGATGCTGCCATCTGTAGGCAATTTCACTAATATGTCATTGACATGATGTTAGTCATAGTTGTTTTGCATTGTTGCCAAAATAATCAAAAATTATTTGGTTAAAAAAATTTTTTTTTAAATTTTTGCAAAAAGAATTTAAGAAAAAAACCGAAAATAACCTAAAAAACCATTTTAAATTTAAAGGGTTCCGGTTCGGTCTCTAGACTTGCATTTAAAAATAATATGGGTTCGGTTACGGTTCCGGTCCACAAATATATACCGGTTTCGGTCCGGTTTTCTGTCCAAAAACGGTCCGGTCCGGGTCCCTGATATATATATATATATATATGGTATACTATTGCCAATTTAATTCTATGACGTCTTATGGACGTCCAAGGTAAGTCAGAAATGGGATACCCAATATACTATACCCAATTTAATTTCAGGACGTCCCATGGACGTCCAATGTACGTCAGAAATGGGATATCCTAAACTGGCCCGGACAGACCCAATCAGTGTTGCCACTTGTAACATAATTATCGAATGGGGTAGATAAATTTTTTCTGACTTATACTTTTTATGGTTTTATTCAAGGCGTTTTGTAATATTAAACATTTCTGTGAAATCAGAATTTCAATTGAGTTTACCGTTTTCGAGATATTTACAAAAAATATAAATTTTTATGACGTCACAAACCTCGCCATGTGACCAACATTCTAAGATTTCTATTGGTTGAAAATTACCCTGTTGTCAAGTTGTCTTGTTAAAGATTTCATTCGGTTATGTCAGAAAATACCCGAAGAGGTTATGTACAAATACTGTCACTGTCAGTTGAAACATGGTCACCAAATTCATTAAGTACCTATCTTCCTTATTACGAGGTAGGTATCACTGTTTGATATTTTAGAGTCCAAGATATATCTAAAAGAATATAAAGAACTAGGCATTATACTAATGAAATGCATTTACGACAAAATATGATTATAATTATAGGTACTTACTTTATTTGTTTAAAAGCTCCAATGTTCAATGTAACCAACCATTCCACAAGATTCCTCTGCTTTGGAGTCCGTTATTAATAAATCACTTATCTAATATCAATTACAAATAACATAACAATAACATTGATTTTCAATAATCTAAATTAAAAAAAAACATAACCCGAAAAAAAGAAACGTCAAAAAATCAATTCTTCTTCTTCTTCTCAACTTAAATTATAGATCAAGTGCTTTTAAAACTAAAATATTATAACGTGGCGCCATCTATCGTAAGAATCTTAAACTAAACACACTGGCAACCATAGAAAAAGCTGGCAACGTTGTCAATAGCCTAGTGACGTAATTAGGAGATTTTCTTTTGTAAATATCTCGAAAACGGTAAATTCAATTGAAATTCCGATTTCACAGAAATGTTTAAAATTACAAAACGCCTTGAATAAAACCATAAAAAGTATAGGTCACAAAAAATTTAACTACCCCATTGTAACATAATTTTTTCTAAAAACATAATCGATAATTGTAACATAATTTTTAATCCAAGTATCTGGACAAAATTAACTTAATTTTATCCAGATTAATCAATTTAAGCATAAAGCCTGATTTATAGATTTCCTTCCTTCCTCCCGTAAAAGATCAACAATACCGTAGTGCTGTTTTTAGATTCCCGTAAGGTATTTATAGTTCTAAAGGTAACGGTAGAGGCAGCGGTAGCGCTAGCCCTAAACCAAACCATAGTTTGGTCTAGGGCGCTAGCCAAGTTGGGCATTGAATATTATATGAACCAATTTATAGTTTTTAGAGGTAGCGGTAAGGGAAGTAGAGGCAAGAACGTAGCGGCAAGAGATGACCATCTTTCATCTTTTCTTACCTCAACCGCTACTCCAGCCAATAACGCGGCAGTTTTTAGTTGGCAGCCTCGCCTTGTAAGTTTAGTGTTTATGCGAGGGGCCGCCATTACCGCTACCGCTACTTTCTGAACTATAAATCCAGCTTTATACTATTTTTAACAAATTTTATAATTTTCTAAAAATTCGATAATATTTTCAACCCTGCTTCTTTCACTTTTTTATGATTAAATTATAATAACTATTGTAACATAATTATTACAATTATTGTAACATAATTTTCCGAAAATTCGATAACTTTATTAACCCAATTCGATAATTTCAACTTTTACATCTGGCAACACTAGACCCAATCAGGATGTACTTGGAGCGCGTTCGAAAACTCGCAAGAGTGCACTCTGGATACACTCCAAGTTTACCTTGCGCGTTCAAATTCTCTGGTATATACCTAGATATATGCAACTGTCAGCTGTTCGAAAACAGCAAGTATATGCCCAGAGTGCACTCTCGGTTGTCCAAGCTTAGACTTGGTTAAGTTTTACCCGTCATGCGCATAGGGTACATCAAACAATAATTTGTATTTACCTTCATATAATTTATTTATAACTGTTTAAAATTCAATAAAACAAAAACGAAAAACATTAAAATAAAAGAATTTATTATAATAAATTATTTAAAAATTATCAATTCTAAAAAACAAAACAAAATCCATCACAAAAACTTGAATTATCCATATAACTATAGTTATAAAGGGTTGAAATTCAATAATTTAATATTAATATGTATTCAGTCAAATAACAAGCAAAAACAATTGATTTTAGAACACTACAACATGAAGTTTGTAGGTATATGCTCCGCGGCGTTCGAAAATAACAAGGAGGTCAGGTATAATGTAAAGTCACGTGATTATAAACCTATCCTTATACCACATCCAAAGTACACTCTCATTTCGAACGCACTCTTGGGAGGTCGAGTGCTATTTGGGTAACTTCGTGCCGTTAAACTGAAGTATATTAGAGTAACTTTAGGTAACGTTTTAAAAACTCCGTTGTATAAACATTTAAATGTGAACGTTAAAAGACGAAACCTTAAGTAGATGTTGAGCCATGTATTGCTGAGTTAACATCATCAAATTGTTGAAAAACGTGCAACTTACAACTTGATATTAACTTCTGCAAAATATTGTTGTATAAACATTCAAATGTGAACGTTGAAAGATTATATGTTAAGTTGATGTTGCATAGTAGATTAACCTATAGGCCAACCTAGGCCATGGCCTAGGGCGCCGCGAAGCCAATAGGCGCCCAGGCAGAAGGCTCAATTTTTTTTAAGTAGTTTGAATATTAAAATTAATCAATTAAAATAAATAATTATAATTATCAAACGTGTAATAGGTTCCCTTTTTTATTTTAAAAGCACATCTTTTTCGCAGTTGCCTAGTAGACGAGAAGACTGCGAATCTAGCTCTTCCATCTATAGAAGCAGAAGAAGTCAAGAAAATAAATTTTGAAAATATTATTGTGTCCTTTTCCGATTTTATATGCAGGAAAAAAATTGTAAATCGTCGTTGATAATGAAAAAAATCGTTTCACTTGAACGCCTGCAGAAGAGAAATAACCCGCGGAAATAACCCACAAAAATAAAAAAATCGATTTTTTTTATTTTTGTGGGTTGGTTCCCTTGTGCAGAAAGGCGTCAAAGTTACCTTTT